TAAACCCCTATGTCAGAAGAAAAAAGTAGACACAAAGCAAGGTTATATAGAAGCCACTAGAATATAAGTTCTTTGAAGGTGGAGTCTGTGGCTGTCATTTGAGAAAAGAGCATGACATAGCAGACATTTAGTATGTACTGTGACCTCTCTGAACCTGACCCGAGATCCATTTCCTTTTCTGGATTGACTCTGACTCTGGAATTCACTGTGAAGCTTGGTTGTGGGTCCTCTCCTCTCATTCTTGGTTCTCAGCACCCTTTGGAGCCCTTATAGCCAGTGGCCTCTTTCAGCAGTGGTCATTCTGACCACTTAACTAATTCTCATATCAAAACATCCAAGTTCAACATACTTGTGAAAGATCTAAGTAATCAAACATTCATCCCAGCAAAGATACAGAAGAGGCCAGAGGATAAACCATCAATCCACAGCAACAGTTACCTCTACTGTCTTAACCGTTTGAATACTGTGTACTCCATATAATTATTTTAATTTTGCAACAAGAAAGCAGAAAGTACCTCATCTACAGCCAAACCCATAGTAAGCTGGTGTCAAGATGTAAACTTAAATTGGGCTGACTACAAAGCTAAGAGGACTACTTACACTTGTGAACTATCAATGACTTTATCCCAAAGGATTTTAGATCTCATAGACAAGGAAGAGAAATCAAGGAGGTAGTGTGGCCAGAACACCTTCCCTAGTGCCTTGTTGAGAGCCTGGCTACCCATGTTCCCATGGACCTATCCCTTAGTCCATCTTGTAGTTCTACCTTTTTTCTAGACCCTCTGCTTTTCTGTAAGCACATCTTAGTGCCAGTTTGCTAGATCAGAGCAGCACTGAAACTCTGTCTCATACTTCCACTAGTAATCATTCCAACAAAGAAAAATCACCAACAACATGAAAACCTAAACATCAGTTGAATGCTTTATCATAATTGTTAAAGTTAAAACCAGTGTTAGCTGCCCCATACCTGGAGAAGCCTGTGTAGATGGTACCTAAAGAAGTCTGGACTTGAGTAAAGGCTTCTGACTATGAAGATGTACATATGGCTTTTGTGAGCTCGGGGTCAGGAGTTTCTCCAGGTCCCTGAAATTCAGTATGACTCCAGATTCATTGAACATATGTGGGCATGCAAAAGCCAACTCTATCTTAAGGTTCCAAGGAGAGCTCCAACACATCATGTTGATTAAACAATATCAGTCCATCTTTTTTTTTTTAATTCTAGCACAAAGAAACATTTGCCTAAATTGGCAAACTGACTATGGCATATAGAAGCCTAGAGGGAGCTACCCAATTCAGGTGCTTTCTTTTTCTTGTTCTCAGTCAAGCAGGGTTACTGTAAGGACACAGTTTAAAAACCAGCTCATTGCTGATGTGTTTTGTCTCACTGCCCTCCAACATAGAGGCACAAGGATGTGAGCCACTGCTTTCTGCTCTGAACAAAGCCTCAGAGCCATCCTGTAGAGGACCATTCTTGCCATTTGAACCAGCAGCCAAATCTCAAATGTGGCCAGGATTTTACAAGGAAAAAACATTTTAGCCTGTATCATGGTGGATTAGATTAATTATTGGGCTGCAATCTCCACTTTTCATTGACTGATTAACCAAAGGTTCTTTTGTAGTAAATTACAATATCACCTGATACATCAAGCAGGTGCTTGTCATGCTTGTTAAATAGAAAACAACTCCCTGGAGCTGCACAGAAACTGGGGCCAAAAATGGGACTATAAGGTCTGAGCCTCTTCTGTTAGGAAGGGGTGGTCATGCAGTGGTACCGAAAACCACATGGAAATACATGGCGCTACCTGCTGATGGCTGTCTGGCTGCTTACCAGCCCCACCTAGCACAAGAGGCACAGTCTCCATGGACTGAGAAAGCAGGAGTGTAACCTTGCAGGCCATTACACCTTACCTCCACTCTATTTGGAGATGGTAGACCCAAAGCTCAGGGAAGGAGTCACTTGGCTAGGGAGCAGCTGAAGCATACAATCTACTTCCTGGTCCATTGTTCCCATCATCCAGTGATGCTGTGTTTTCTGCAACACATGGAGAGCCATTTTCATCAGAGAAGAAGAAGGGTTGTCAGAACAAAGGCAAAGATTTTGGGACAGTGATTGGTTCTATTTCAGCTCCAGGTGTATAGGTTGTATGATCCTAGGCAACATTTTTAACTGTTATGTTCCTCAGTTTACCAATTAGAAATAATGATAGTGGATATATTTTGGGGGTTTAATTTTACAATTAAAGGAATTTAAGTATGCGCTTTAGGCTCATGCTTGGCCCATACAGAACACAATACAAACACAACATCCCTCTTGTTTTCAGCACATCAGGCAGCCAATGGATTTACTAAGTCATCCACATGGTTTCCAATCTGGAATATCAAAAGGAACATGCTTGTAACCCTCTATCCTGTGAACCCCAAGCATCTCACACACACAACCAAAACCACTTATTTTTCCTTCTCTCTCCATTTCTTACCTCAACTAGATCTAACCTCTTAGTGACACACTTTCAAAAAAAGGCTTAAATCTGCCAACTGTCTCCTACACTAAACACCCCTCAAGAGTGGATGGGAGTCAGTTGTTTCTCAAGTTATATCAACATAGTAGATGAGCTGAACACAAGTATACATATATGTTTACATGTATGAACATACATATCTAGGCTAATGTATGCATGTATAGTTTTATTATATATAATAATATGTACTTTTAAACAAAGGTACATGTGATTAACTCTCAATATACACAAGTCCTTCATTTATAGACTGAACCAGCTGCACATTGAAAATTTTGTGTTTAGATTAAGGTATTTCTCAGTTGTAGAGCAGTTGTCTAGTATATGTAAAGGTCAATCCTCAGGATAAGAGAAACAGAAGGAGGAAGAGCAAGAAAGTGGAGGAGGAAGAGGAGAAGGAGGAGGCAGATGAAGAGAATGAGAAGAGAGGGAGAAAATATTATATGTGTTGAATAAGTACAACCTCCTTTTCTTACTGTTACTTTATAAGCAATGTAACAACTATTTACATAGAATTATAGACATCAATCCTCTAGGACCAACTTAAAGTGTGCAGAAGAATATATGTAAATCACTCAAAGCACTTTGCATTTCATCTATGGTCCTTGAGCATCTGTAGATTTTGGTACATGTTGTGGTTTCTGGAACAGGATCCTATAGATGCTGAGGTAAAGTTGTGTGTTACAGAGATACAAGTTTGGACAGAAACTTGTGAATAAATGTATGAGCCTTACAAATCTACCTTCTCTAATTCCTTATAAACTTACTGTATTGTCAAGGGTGAACTGCAGGTTTGAGGGCAGCTCAGACTATTTTGAAAGATTCTGTCCACCCTGACCATCCCTGACATACTACGAGAATTTCACTTCTCTAAAACTCAACATTTTCAAACCTATTACATTTTACAGGCAAATACAATTAATTAAGGTGTTTGTTGGCATTGCCAGGGGCCCAAGAATCAGGCTAATTTTCACCAATAACTTTTACCTCTCTGGGTCCCGAAGTACTGTGATAGAGTCTGGCTCCTGCTGGTGAATATGCCATAGTAAAAATGCAGTTCATGGCGAGCCCAATTTCAGGCTATCATCAAATAAATATGATATTTTAGTCTACAAGAACATTGTATACACTGTAAGTCAAGGGGAAATGTACCTGTTTGGAAATCTTTGAGGAAGAAATAACTATAGTCACACTGCTAAATTAAGAGTCCTGGACATTTCTAAACACAGAGCTGAATCTACCCTTTTCTAAGCAAGGTCATGACAAAAATTGGTAGCCAAGCCAAGGACTTGGTTCTGGCCCAAGAATATCTTCAGCTCTTTTCAACAACTCTTTCCTGCCAGGTCAGTTGGCTTCCAAAGAAGCAATAGAGGCCTAGTTTTAGTTGTTAGTAGGAGAGTTGTGTGGTCTGTCTGCTTATCTTTCCCTTTTATCTCTGGTCCTGTGGAGGCATCTCTCTGTGGCTTTAAATCCTTTGATGATATGCAATTTGCTTTTCCTGTGGGTACATCTGCTTATGATCTATGGACTAGGGTCTTGCTCATAACTGCGAGTATTTGCAAATAAAGTTCATGGAAGAGACCAAGAAACAGAGTTCAATACCTGCCCAGGTAACCTTGGACATAGGCAAGTGAGGACAAAAGCATTTGGTAATTTGTCTTTCTGCTGAATTGCTGAAGGAGCTTGACTCATGACTTTGGGGTTTTATTTATCTATGGAACATACATGACTCTATAGGGCCAGAAGAAAGAGACAAGAAAGGAGGAAAACGGGAGTGAATTCTTTCAAGCTGAGCCATCTGTAGGGTGATGGTTTGTTCTGGGGGGGGGGGAGGGGGCAGAGTTTTGTTTGTGGATATTAGAGCCATGACTGGTGGGTGAGATAAACCCACCCATAGTCTTTAGTCACCCTTTTATAATAGCTTTTAGAGGGACCGTCTAACATCTGAATCACAAACACAGGATGAAGTCTACATCTAGACTTCTGTTACTCACAAAATATCTTCACTCCTCTCTCCCCAATGCTTGCTTCCCACCCCTGGAGTCTCTCCCCTTCACACCCATGCCTGTCTACTTCCTGGTCATCCCTGTCTGACTAGAGCCCATTTCCATGGAAAAATGGTGTTTTAGACAGTGAAGGGGTCATCGTGCCTTATGCTACTATAAATCCCCATCTGTTGCCCTGATTTTGGGTCTATGTACTTAATTGACTATCATCAGCTCACTCTGTCATATTTTTGATTCTTGAATTGTCAGAAAATGTGGTAGTAGTCAAAGCAACCAATAGCTATCCCCACCCCTTTTTTTAGAGTTCTATCTTCCCACTGGTCATTTTGTGGCTTTCTCAACCTAGATGGGTCAGTTGGGAGGAGTGAGTCTTGGGATGTTGCCACAGAGAAGCATGGCTTGCACTTGTTTGTCAGTGGTAAATACAGGGCCCTATATGACATATGCTAATGAGTCTGTCTCTCTTTCCCCTACACAGGGCCTGGAGCAGTCATTGATGGTGTAAATTCCGCCTCTAGAGCACTGGCTTGTCTCTGGCTCTCAGGGACCTTCTTTGCCCACTTCTTCATCAAGTTTTGATAAGAAACCATAGGTCCTCTCCTCAACGCCTGCTTCTCTACATCACAGACTTTAATCTACACTGCGGAGGGCAAACCAGTTTGGGCTTCTTTTTGTTTATTTTTGTTCTTCTTGACTTTTTTTCTGGGATTTTCAATTTTATTTGATTTTTCTCTTTTAGTTTGAATGAGTGGGGTTGGGGGTTGGGGTGGGCAGGGTTCTGCCAAGGGTAGGATAATCATTCATTGGTGGGCCCCCAAATGGAATCTGTTGTTCCTGCTACCTTGGTCTTCCTTTTCTCTACTTCTCTTTCCACAACCATTAAAACACCACACACACACACACACACACACACACACACACACCACAAAATTGGGCAAAAAGACTGTCCCATGTCAAATACCCTGAAGGTACAACTTGACTCACAAGGTAGTACACAGTAAGAGTTGCATCTACATGTCCAGTTGTGTTTGTCTTTTAACCTTCCAATCATTTTCCCAGTTAAGAGGTACATGTCCTCATCCCCATGCATATCATCACCTTCCATCAGGCTTCACTCCTTTTCTTTGTAAGAAACTGTCTCACTATATCTATGGATACGCATATAGGTACATCCACATAGAAAATTTTGTTCTCTTCTCTGGTACTTCACTCTATTCATTTCTTCCACTAAATATAAAACTAAAGATTTAGAAGTCAAGTAACCAAATGAGGGAACTATACTAATGCTGGTACTTCCCTTAAATGCTGTCACAACTCATAAAAATGTGATCAATAGCTGGCTAATTATTTTGCCAAGCTATCAAGGCAATCATACCTTTATCCAGTTACTCGATTGATTTATCTCTCCATTTATTTCTACCCACCTGTCTTTCTCTCTCTCACAATCCATTTGTGCTATTTATCATAACATCAGTGTAACTATATGACTACTTTCTATTTTTCTTCCCATTACTCACTATCCATTCATCACCATATTAACCTCTAATTGTGTGTATCTATGCCACTATCTCCATTTCCCCACCACCACCAAAAACATTATCATCTTCAAATTTGTCTAGCAACTTCTTATGTAAAAGCCAGTGATCTCACAGGCTAACTACACAGAAGAGCAATTTCCTGTGCCATGGATCCTTGGGAATATGAAAACCCATCCGCCCAAATTAAACATTATGAACAGATGGACCATAGTAACAATCTAAAGACCAGTCACTCATGATTCCCAGAGAGACTGTTTCCTGAACCACCTTCTCAGGAGGCAGATGAACCCTGGAGAAGCCTTGATTATGCTGCAGTTCTTCTTTAACAGCTGGGAGATTAAGGTACATCCTCGTTCGAGAAAAGTGCACCTTGGCAGCTTGGAGAAACTTCTTGTTGGCTGGCTTTCATTAGCAAAAAGAACCTGATGAAAAACACGCATCTGTCCCTTCTGTGTAAAGACAACAGTCCATTAGCTGAGGTGTGAGAACTATAGCTAACCATCACCCTTCTGCTCCAGCTTTGATTTGAATGTTTGAAAATTATCCAGCAAAAGGCTGATGGAGGCCAATTACATGGCGCGTGTGTTGACAACTCTGGTATTTGTTTCAGAAAGCTCTTCTAAGCTGAGGGCACTTGAGCTACTGACTTAATTTCCAAGCACTTGATTAACACAACATGGCAAACAGAGACAGGAAGTATAAGTTATAATGTTTCTTAAGCCATTTCTCTAGCACTTTGGGGATGAATGCCCCCAAATTCCTATATTGGAAGCTGCCCTAGTGTACAAGTAAGATCAAATCCAGCCTCTCAGCATTTTCTCTTAAGAAAAGAAGAACTCAGGCAACAAAGGAACCTGCAAATCAAGTGAAGAACATTGAAGGCTACAGAAAGTTCTCTGTAGGGACTGGCTTACTGAGTGGTTAACATGGAGCACCAACAGTGACTTTCTCACAGACATGTCCTGCCTCCCTAAGGAGCCCTTTTTAGGTCCACCTCTAAAAACTCAAAACTATGAGCTCCATTAGAGTTCAGTTCCCTTAAAGTTTAAATGATCACTTGCTCCAGTATACATGTCCGCTCTGAGCAACTATGGCCACATAAATACAATATCCACAGTGGGTACATATATACCTGTGTATACATTTTCACATATATACAAATGCATCCCTCCACATATATACAAATGCATCCTTCCTTGGCATACAAAATCTCCGCACTATCATAAGAGATAGAGCTGGTGTGAGCAAAATTAATACTCTACTTGCCAGCTGTAAACAGACATCTGCATTTCCTAGTGAGCTGCCAAGAATGAGACTGTGGGAGCATAATTGATGTGCCAAAAAACAGTCTATTTATTCCAACTTCCAGAGGCAATCAGGAGCAGGCACAAAGTCAGAATTACAGGTCGGATACATGAATTTCAGATCTGTCACCACACTCAGCACCTGGGATAGGGTTGGTGTCACGCATTGTATGAGGCTTGAATGCAGCATTTGAGTTTTCTACTTATCCTACATTTGTTACTTTGGAAAAAAAGGAAACATGGACACCATAGGAACTAAAAAGTATTGGGCAATGTGTTGCTTGAGATGGACAAGCTGCAGCTGCTCTTTACCACCTTGTGCAAGCAGATCATCAGAACCCAAGTGAGTATGGACTCAGCATCACCATGCAACTCTGCTGTGCCTACTTTGACTGGATGCTAGACATGTCTCTGGTAGTTACCTACACATCCAAACTTCAGAAGGAAATATATACATACATATATATATATGTATATATATGTTCCAGCCAATCCTCTTGTCTGAGAAAAAGAATAGCAAGTAGAAATGACTCAAGGCGATTGGGTGCCCGATATGAAATGACTTCTTACAGCAGACACGCTCCAGCTCCTATGTTATCTGAGTGACATTGGTGACAATGGCTCCATGTGATGGGAGCTGAATCCCAACATTTTGAAGCAAGTAGAGCAGCAGTTGCTCACTACAAACAACTCACACAATTCCATATGACTTTCCGACCTTACATATGGAGAGGAGAGTGGATCATATCTACTAGACAGATTTGTTCAGCTTGTCTGTCAAGGGTGGGTGTGAGGTAAAGGGGAAAAATAGGATCACATTAGTCCAAATAACTGGTAGAATGTTGTAGGTTTTCTGAGTAGAAACCAAATAAGGTTTTTCAAGAGATTAAGTGAAAGGGATTCAGCAAAGGTAGTTATTCTAAAACTTTTCCCCTTCCCAAAACAATGCTAATTTGTCCTTCCACCAAAGTGATGCCAATGAAAGTGCTAGTGTGATGGCTCTCGCCAAGTTTTTTTTTTTTTTTTTTTTTTTTTTTTTTTTTGAGTAGTTTAATGTCAAGTGCCTGATACAGTCATCTGCAAGTTCAATCTCTTTAGATTTTCTTTCTTGTTCTCATTTGGAAGGATGGAGGAAATGTAGTTGTCAAAACATATATAGCTCTGAGACAGATAACTAGGTACACAGCTCTTCTGCTGTTGGCTACAGTTGTGTATGGTTCAACAGAAGGAAAGGCAGGGTTGTGTGTCACCAGGGTGACAGGGCCTTTTCCCACTGAAGTTCATACTTCTTTGGGATGCTGTTCATGGGTTGGGAAGTTAGTTTTCAAAATCTGGTGTGGTCTGGCTCTCAAGGAGCTCCACTGGTGAGGCTGAAGTTTAAGAATCTCTTTCTGCATCCCTCTGGTCAAGATGTCCCAGAAAAAAGGAATAGCAAATTCTCCCCATCTTAGAAAAAATATCAAAAGAGCAGAAAAGCCCTGGAGTGGACAGCTGATTCTGTTTTTATCAAGCCACTGGATCATAAATGGTTGGGAATTTAATAGTAATATTGTGGTTGATACTTTCAGGGCCTAAGGGCACATGTTCTTAGTAGCCTATGTGGTCATTACTAGCCCCATAAGAAATGATGAAGAAGAATAGCTTATGAAATTATGAGGTAGTATCTGTCCCAAATTTGATCCTGAGTTTTCAACAGGATAGGAAAAACTGGTTTGACAATACCTAGAATCAGGGACCCAAAAGAAGTTCCTGGTGGAGTGAGAGGAAGCAGCATAATTCTTATTTTTAATTTGGGGTGAAATGTATTTTTCTCCAACAGCAGAATATTTGGGTTTTGTTTGACATAAATCTTATTCCTAGAAATTCTCATGTCCAATTACTTTGCCCCTTATTATCCAAAACTCCCCTCTCTCTTTCTCTCAAAACAAATGCATTTGAGTAGCTGCAGTAGCTCTTCACAGGTGTTTAACAAGGAAGGCAAACAGTGTACAGGATGCCATATGATGAAAACTTCAAATGACTAAAGAAAAAAATCAAACAAATAAAAATGCCAGGCTCATTTCCCTCATTTCTTACTTAAGAGAAGTAAATGGAAGGAAGAAGAAATAGATGGCAATTAAAAATGTGACAAAAAGATATAGCTGAACCAGTGCAATTTAGCCTTCAGGTGCAGAACACGGAGCCGAAAAGAAAGTGGAGTGGACTCAATTAGATGCAATTGTCTTCATAGTGATAGTAGTCAGCGAAACCCAATTTCCAGCATTTTGGAAGAGACTTTCTGCATTCCCTCCCCTGAGTGGTACCCTTTTAAGGCATTAGGAGGAGAAAGAAAGATTGAGAACCTCTACCATCCTTGTAGGTTTCCATCCCAGATTATTTGGCAGAGTTTAAGAATCTCAATAATAACAATGGTAAGTAATAATAGCTGCCCTTGTGTTAGTGAAAAGGAACATTTTTAATCATTCAGAAATTCTTGTGACATGTAAAGTGCAATTGTGAGGAATGTGTGGGTGTACGAAAATGTATCTGTCAAGTTCAGAATCCTCTAGATTAAAAAAAAAAACCTTATATGATTATCAATGGTGCCGTTAATAGCTGTGTTAGACAATGGGTGTGTCCATTTTCACAAGTATTCTTAAAACTAATCTGTGTTCTGATGCTTTAAAATTTTATCACATGATACAAGAATATGACTTTGTCAGCCATTAAAACTTTTTTCTTTTGCTTTCTTTACTATTTTTTTCTTCAAAAAACAATGAAGACTTTATTTCTGTCAATCATTGTATTGAGGGTGAATATACTACCTGAATTTGTGCATGTTACATTGTAGTTGTAACCTTTTCTAATTCAGGATGAATACAAGATGGTTGTGATTGTGCAGTGTATCAATAAAGTTTGAAGAAATTTGTAACTTTTAGGGGACTCTTCATTAGGATGTCCCTTTGAGATCCAGTAATGGAAAAAAGGAAAAGCAGTTATGTGTTGTAGACTTTGGGGAGTCAAAGTGATCAAAAATATGAGTATCGTCCCCACCTTCCTCTCCCTTTTCCTGTTCTTCTTCTCTCCTACACACACACACACACACACACACACAGAGAGAGAGAGAGAGAGAGAGAGAGAGAGAGAGAGAGAGAGCACTCTATTTACTTTGTTTATCTTCTGTCTAGCAAATATCTGCTGTGTTTACAAACACCAAAATATCC